GCAGGAGACATAGTACAGAACTTTCTATACAGCCCAGCCCCCAGCTAGCTTGCAAGCTGAGCTGAGCATAGCACAGCAAACTACTTGATGTGCAACTTTCTGATCTCTCTGCCCTGCTAGACTCAGTGGGAATGGACCTGGAGATCCAGCATGGCTTGGCGCAGCTGAGAAAACTTCAGAACGGGTCAAAAAGCAATTTTCCTGTTCCATAAGGTTCTTCACAGTCACAAAAGCAGCAGCAGTGTTAGCTTGTGCTGGGGCGGGAGCGGGGAGGCAGGGCACTGTTCACAGACTTGAGACAGTTTTCTTGGTCCACTCAGCAAGATCTCCCTTCTTGCCTCCTCCCTGTGTTGTACCAATTTCTGATTTCTCTGCAGTCTCAATGGGAAAGAATCCATAGATCCAGCATAGCTTGGTGCAGCAGAGAGAAATTCAGAACAGTCAAGGAGAGGCACTTTTTCCATTCTGCTAGATTTCTCTCCACAACAGCACTTTCAGACTGGCCTCTTTCCTGCGTGTGGGGTCCTTGCCGAGCCACATTTCAGTTCCTTTTAAAAAGTCTCTGTGCAGTACCCGCACCACAGCACTGAGTCACTGTTTGTTTCTCTTGCATACGGCCTCCCCAAAAAGCAAAATGTCTCTCAAGGTCACAGCTGGCTGCAGCCTTCAGGGGCCCCTGACAGGCCCAGGTGCAGCAACCTGCTCATTTTAGGAGATTGTCTCCCTATCTGGAGCTCTCCAGGTTGGCCCTACACTTATGGATATGCTGGTTGCTGTGTGTGTGTGTGTGTGTGTGTGTGTGTGTGTAGCCTGGGTCTCCCAGACTCCATATATCCCCCCAAGTCTTTCCCAGTCAGGGTTGGGGATCCCTGTGTGGGACTAAGACTCCCTGCTCTGAAATGGGAGGGAGCTCCGAAGTGGCTGTTTCTGTCTTGTCTCTTTGCTGCTGCCTTTTGCACTGGATATTTCCCCTTCAAGTTATAAAATCACCCTAATGGATGGAACAAAGCATCTTCTGTACTCCTTGGCTTCAGAATTTCATATAAGCTAAGATTCTGTTGATTGTTCAGGTTAATTGTTGGAAAATAAGCTAAAAATCAGAGTTTGAGGCAAGAGCAAGTGGACTTGGCTTCCACCTATTCAGCCATCATCCTCAAACCTCCGATTGCTTCCCCCCCCCCCCCAAAAAGTTGCTCATAACTTGTGGATATAATTTTTTCTATTCTGTATGATACAAATATTTCTTTCCAATCTGTTGCTTGATGTTGAATTTTGCTGTGTCATTTTTTGTTGTTACCCACCTATTAAAATGTTTTTCTTTCCCTTCTGTTTTTTCTTACATATTCTTTATATGATGCCATTAAATATGTTTTACTTTATTTTTAAGTATATTTTATTGATTATGCCACTAACTATTGTCTCATTTTTTCTTCCCTTTATCCCTCTCTGCCCTGCACACCCCTCCCTCCAGCTTTCCCCCCACCTAAGTTTATGTCCATGGGTCATACATGTAAGTTCTTTGGCTTCTCCATTTCCCATACTATTCTTAACCTCCCTCTGACTATTTGATACCTACAAATTATGCTTCTTATTCCCTGTACCTTTTTCTCGATTTTCTCCCCTTTCCCTCTCCTCTGATAACCTTCCATGTGATCTCTATTTCTGTGAATCTGTTCCTATTCTGCTTCTTTGCTTAGTTTGTTATTTGTTTTTGTTTTTTAGGTTCCATTGTTGGTAGTTGTGAGTTTGTTGTCATTTTGCTGTTCATAGTTTTGATCTTCTTTTTCTTAGATAACTTCCTTTAACATTTCATATAGTAAGGGATTGGTGATGATAAGCTCCTTTAACTTGACCTTATCTGGGAAGCACTTTATCTGACCTTCCATTCCAAATGATAACTCTGCTGGATAGAGTCATCTTGGATCTAGGTCCATGACTTCAAATACTTCTTTCCACCCATTCTTGCCTGCAAGGTTTCTTTTGAGAAATCGGCTGATAGTCTTATGGGCACTCCTTTGTGGGAATGCTCTCCTTTCCTCTTACTGCTTTTAAGATTCTCTCTTTATCTTTAACCTTGGGTAACTTAATGGTGATGTGCCTTGGTGTGTTCCTCCTTGGGAACTATCTCCTTTGGGTCTCTCTGGGCTTCCTGGACTTCCTGTAAGTATTTCCTTCACCAGGTTGGGGAAGTTTTCCTTCATTATTTGTTCAAATAAGTTTTCAATTTCTTGCTCTTCCTCTTCTCCTTCTGGAACCCCTGTGATTTGGATGTTGGAGTGCTTGAAATTGTCCCAGAGGTTCCTAAGCCTCTTCTCATTTTTTTGAATTCTTGTTTCTTCATTCTGTTCCAGTTGAATGTTTATTTCTTCCTTTTCTTCCAAATCATTGATTTGAGTCCCAGTTTCCTTCCCTTCACTGTTGGTTCCCTGCATATATTTTTTTACTTTTACTTTGTGTAGCCTTCATTTCTTTTATTTTGCAGCCATATTCAGTCATCTCTGTGATCATCCTGATTACCAGTGTTTTGAACTCTGCATCTGATAGGTTGGCTATCTTCTCGTTGCTTAGTTTTTTTCCTGGAGTTTTGATCTGTTTTTTTCATTTGGGGATATTTATTTGTCTTGGCACACCTGTTACATTGTAAAGGGTGGAGCCTTAGGTATTTGCTAGGGAGGGGCAACCCACCTCGCTGCCTTGTGGCACTGTATGCTGGGGAAGGGTCAGAGGGAAAAATGCCATTTGCTTGGCTTTTTCCCCACTTTCAGCCACTTCCCCCACTATCCACAAGTGAATTGGGCCCTTCCAGTGCTGATATTAGGTTGGGTGGTCTTGTGTATGTCCACAGGGTACGAGCCCTGTGGGCCCTTCCAATGGACTCTCCTGTGAGACTGGAAGTTTCTCTTGTTGCTGTAACTCCTACAGTTTTTTACAGCCAGAGGTTTGAGGCTTTATTTCCCTGCACTGGAACCCAGGTTTGTGCAATCTGTCTCACTTCCCAGTTGTTCCTCCCGGTTTATCTGCAAATGAATGTGGGACTGCCCATCCTTCAGCCACCACCTTGCCATGTGTCACCACCCCAGGTGCCTGTTTCTGCCCTCCTGCCAGTTTGGGTGAATCTTTCTTTTTTAACTCCTTGATTGTAAATCTAACTGTCCATACAGTTAGATTTTCTGGAAGTTCTGGTTGTTTTGTTGTTAAATTGGTTGTTATACCTCTTTTGGTTGTGCGAGGAAGTGAAACATATCTACCTATGCCTCCATCTTGGCCAGAAGTCCTACATATCCCATTAAATATATTTTAAAGTAAAATAATAAAATAAGTATTATAGTACCAAATAAAAAGTTATACATTAGCCATTTTCAATTATATTAATCATCTTTTTATTTATTTATTTATTTATTATTAAATTACTTTATCGTTGTTCATTTAGAGTTGTGTGCATTTTTCCCCCCTCCACTCCCCCACCCCATTAATCATCTTTTTTAAAAAGGTGGACAAACTCATACATACATACTGGTTTGTCACAATAATAAATAATATTAGTTAATTAGTTAAATTCCCCAAATTATCAATAACTTTGTAAAAACTTACGTTCTTCACATACTCAAGTGCCGTATAGGATTGCCTGATTTTTAAAATTCGACTCATAGTTGATTAAAGAAAATATTTTATTAATTTTAACTGGAAGTTTTAAAATGAAAACAGTTACATCAATAAAAACAGTTGAGGTGGTGAGAAGTGGTCATATTTTCTATAAATCTGGAAGAGAAACCCGAGAGGATTTTGTGATGATGTAGAATTGGAATGTCAGTGGCATTGCGGGTGGGGAAGGAATGAAAGATTATTTAAAGTTTTTTGGCCTAAGCTCCTAGAAGTTACTATCAACTGAGAGGTTTCAAATGGAGCCAGTCAGATAGAGTGCGGTAATTAGAATTTCACTGTTATGATGCCATATTTGAGATTTTTTTGGTCACCCAGGTGGGGAAGTCCAATAGTCAACTGGACATATGATCTGAAGTGAGGAGGGAGCCTTGAGCTGAGGATACAGTATATTAGGATACAGCCATGAAACCCAAAGTAACCAATATTTAGAAGTCAGTAGAAGGAAGAGATGACTAGGGCCTGGGCAATGAGATATAAGAATAATGAAGAATGCCTGATGACCTGTTAGTCTGGTTAAACTATTGTACTTAGGAAGCAATAATCACTGCTGTCAAATACTGCTGGTAGGTCAGGTAAAATGATGACTGATGATTAACCATTAGAATTCAAGCAGCATGGTGGAGTCACAGACAAAAGCCTGATTGGTGTGTGTGTGTGTGTATGTGTGAAAGGATGGAAGGAGAGGATACGGGGACTATGAATATAGACAACTATGTCAAGGAGAGCCAAGAAATGGGGGCATTTCTGATAGGATTGAAATGTCTTTCATTAGAGGATGAAGAAGGTTGTAAAGGGCATGATAGAATTAGTCCATGTGGATTCAAGAGCCTTCTGTTTGGACTTGTTTTTATCATGAATTTTTATTTTCCTGTTGGTATGAATAATTAAGTGTGTTAGCCTATCAAGTGTATTTTAAATAGCTGATTGAATTATAATCCTGCCTCAGTGATCATGTAAGTTCTCCACTAAAATTAAGAAAGTAGCTTTAAAGATGGGATGGCTATGGTTTTTCACATAGTCATTTCAGCATGGTGCTATTGCCAATGTAGTTCATAAGGTAAACAGTAAGTATTGTCTGTTACGTGTGACCTCCAGCAGGAACTTGAATAATTTGTGTAGATTATTAAAAGCACTGTAGCTGTATACCAAACTTGCTCATTGAGTTGTTAATGAAAATGTTATGTATCTGCATTTTTTCTCAGTTCAACCATACTGATTTTAAATGTCATACAATTTAAAAGAATGAAATGATTTTAATTCTCATTGTTTAATACAATAGTATATTTTACCTGGAGAAATGAAAGATTTATTTATATGAACTTATTGTTTTTCTTCAGTTTTGTCAAAGCAACATGCTTCACAAGTTCTGGTTAGGAAACGCCGTGCAAACGCTTGGGCTGAAGAAACCCACCAGGGTAATCTTGAAAGAGAGTGTATCGAAGAACTGTGCAATAAAGAAGAAGCCAGGGAGATCTTTGAAAATAACCCTGAAACGGTAAGAACTCATGAAAATTAATGTTAGCTTACCCAAGCATAGAAACAACAGAACATTTCCAGCTTGAGTCTGTGTTCCATTGTTTTCCTTTGTATAGTTAATGATTGGCATATATCATGTTTCACATGTAACCACTTAAGCATTTCAGAAAGAAGTACCTTCAAAGGAAAGTGGACTAGTTAGGAAGACATTATTGCTAAAAGCAATGTGCTTTGACCAAAGTATAATTCAGTTATTGACCTCATGGTTTGTATACTTTCATCCAACCAGAATTTGAGAGTGTTGGGTGAGGGGGAAGACACTTCAAGTATAACGTGTGTGTGTGTGCATGCATGAGTATGTGATTGCATCGTTATCATTATACTTCATTAAATGCCTTCATTGCCTTTTTAACAAGCCTTTAAACATAAAGCTTGGTACATAATAGGTACTCAGTGAATGCTTACTAAAGAATTCATTCAACACTGTGTTCCCTGAGTATATTATAATTTATTCTATAAACCCTTGGGAAATTTCCTGAGCCATTTTATGTGTTCAGGCATTCCTGGGCTTAGAATTTGTATCTTAGTGTATAAAAGTTTCCAAGTTAGTTTAGAAAAATCTAGTCATAAGCATCCCTAAATATCATACAGAAATATGACCTTATCTTTAGTCCTCTTGTTTCCTGGGGGCAGGTATTCTCTGACATATCCTGTGGGTGGCAGGAGTGTAAATAGTGCCTCTAAGTATTCAAGTTTGATAACCTTTACGGGTACCTCATATATTTTTTTCTGAGATGAACTATATAATCAAAGGGAAACGAGGGTGAAAATGTACACAAAGTACTTCCTTTACCTCTGTTATGGCTCTTGGGAGCCATAATTGAGAGATAATGATCAAGAACCATCTCTGTAGTTGGAGAACTTGTCAGAGACAGTAGTAACTTGTGTTCTCTTCAATTCTTTTACCTCCACTTACCCTAGTAGATGCCCAAAGATTCAGTTTTAATATTTTCTGGCATTGAATCAAAATGTTTCTCTCAATTTTGTTGCTATTTTGGATAAACAATCAGCAAGACAAAAATATTTTATTTTACACAATATACAGAGTATTCTTACTTTGTAGAAAATAGGTACTTGTACACACATGTGTGCATACACATTTAGTTTTATTATAGAAATTTAAATATACCAAAGTGAAAGAACAATATGATAAACCCCAGCACACGTTTCTCTCACTTCAGCAATGATCAACAATCTGCCATGATTGTTTTGCCTGTTTTCTACTTTACTCATTCTAATTTTGTTGTGTTTTGCTTGAACATTTTAAAGCAAGTACACATTGTCTGAGATATCATATTATATCGCAAGAAATACTTGAGTCTGCATTTCCAACACTGTAGATATGTTCTTATACTGTAGCATATGAGTAGCAAATGAGGAGTGAGGTTGAAGATGATAATGGAGAGGAGGAAAGATAGTTTAGAAGGGAAATTCAGAAGTGTGCTTCTTCTCCACTCATTCTGACATCAGTCTCATTGACAGAAGAGAAAGCTATGACAGAGAAAGGAAGAAATGGGGGAAATAAAAAAGAAAAAAATTTTTTATTGCTTCTCACTTGTATGCTGCCCCACATCCCTAATCCTCTAGTCCACATTCCCAATCTTTACCCTGCTGTTTACCTCCTTATTATCCCTGATCTATTCCTTTCACCCATCACATAATCTTTTGAATCCATTCATTGCTGCTTATCCTCCTGACCTTTGTTCTGTATAAGGTAACACCACTGTCTGAAATACTTGGTGGGAGATTCCATCCTTATAAATTAGTAGGTAAATGTTGTATAGGTTTATATGTGAGAGGAGGAAACAGTGAGGACTTTGTGTACTGGATGAAGTTATGTTTTGTACTTAATGTTTTGTGTAGAAACACTGGTTTCTCGTGAGGTGTTCTTGTGCTAGTAATGTTACACATTAGATACATTATGGCTTAAGAAGGCTTTTGTGAACCATTGAGAACTTTACCATTAGAAATCATTTTTAACTTTTTTCTCTCTCTGGTAAAGTACATTCTTATTCCAAAGTACTGATTTACAGACAAACTTTGCATACTTAACCAATTAGTACAAAAGGTATTACTTTTATCTATGATGCTAAAAGATAATGTCCAGTGTTATTCAACATTTAATCTGCTGTGTGTAATCAGCATGGCATGAAATGTGTCAAATGGGTATCTAATCATTATGGGAAAAATACAGGATTTACAAAAGGGGATGTATATGATTACATTTAATAGCTCCAATAGAACCTGTTTTCAGATTAGAAGCTTTTGAAGCATGATTTAATTGATCAATATTGCCTTAAGCCTAAGAATCTTATTAGCTTAAAGTTACTAGTTATCTACTCCTGGTATATTTTACTATAGAAAAAATCTTATAATGTGGAAATGACATTTATATGTAATTTATTTGTATCTTTAGATTTGGGGTGGTAAACACAATACTGTGTACAGATGATGTGTTGTGGAATTGTGCATGTGAAATCTGTATCATTTTGTTAACTAGTGTCACCCCAATAAATTCAATAAAAAGGAAAAAATTGCATCTTTAAAATAAAAACATATTTTAAAATTGTTTTAACTTTATAGTGAAATTTAGGCTTGCTAAGATAATTTATTCATTTTTCTGTCTTTCTAGGAGTTTTTTTATCCAAGATATTTAGGTAAGTTCCAAGGATTTCATTCATATAATTCTAGATATGGAAAGAAACTTAGATATGATCAAACCCAATCCTCCACCTGTATATTTCATCCAACATAGTTTAATTAGCCCTGGGAGTAAGATCCCATTCTCTATGCAATATTGCTGTCCTTTTATTAAACTTACACCAAAAATTTTTTAATGGTTCTCTAATTAACATGTGGCATTTTGACTTTTAGTCTTTTCAGTTTCCTAATTTCCTGTCTTATAGACCCACTGGGCTAATGTTAAGTTCTATTTAGGTCATGGGTTATCTTTTAATGAAAGGAAAGTTCTCTGTACTCTGGAGCTTGTGGAATACACACTTATGGAAATTATCAACAACTTCTCTCTTGGCAACAGCATTTCATCATTTCCTGCAGTACCCCTTTTGTACACAATTCTGGACTCCCAAGGAGTGAGGTGTCCTTTCCATACCCAAATAGATGAGATGATTTCAGCTTAATGTCAATTAAAGACAAGAAGATTTTGGTTTGCTTTAATCAAATATAAAAACATTTTGTATTAATATTACTTGGGATAGTTGTCAGCATTCTCCATAATAAAAGTTGAGTGTAATTTATTCACCTCTTTCTGATGGGATTCTCTATAGGTCCAGCCCACAAAGGTGTGCTCTCCATCCTCCTTTAGGCTCAGGATATTCCCCTTCTGTGCATCTTTCCCCCACCTCTCATCCCAGCCAACTTGAGCTGCAAGCTCTTTAGAAATGAAAAGTTAATCCTCCTTGGATAAAAAGTAGAAATGTACTCTGATATACATTAATTACTATGCAGCTTAAAATTTATTAATATAATTTTGTAAGTAACTTTCTATTAAACTCTTATTTCTCTTGAAATTTGAGGGTTTAATTACAGTTTAGGGTTTTACTTCTTGTTTGCTTTTGTTTTATTTCTGAATACCCATGCAAAGAGTCCAGAGACTGTCTTTAGATTGGGTATGTCTCTTCCTTTCCTGCTTTCCTAAGGAAGCTCCATTGAAACAATGGTATGTACTTATATTTACCTTTCAGAACAATTAACAAATAAGAGCCTAAGACCACTGTGTAGAAGACCCTGTTAGAACCAAGTGCTCTTTTATGTAGGCCTGAAGTGGTTATCCTTTCATTTTTGAGTGTCCATGATGGTCTGAATCTTGTCTGTGTGGCACATCCTGGGCCCAGGAGACTCAACCATAGCATACTACATTTCATTTCACCCTCTCATCAACTGCAGGACCTCAGTTCATTGGGGTCTCTCTTTAGAACTCCATGGCATGACCCATTTCTGTTCAATGGGCTACTAGGTATTTTCCAATTGACATATTATAATTCTTTTTGTAATTTCCAGTCCAACATTTCTCCTTCAAGATCTTAAAATTATGATAATTTTTTCTATGACTTCTTTATTTCCATTTTATTCTTTTCTTCACTTTCCTTTTGTAGCCACTAATAGCAGACTTAAACAGTTTAATTCAAACTTGGAAAGGGGACACTATAAAAATTGTGTAGTGATATTATTTTTGTCTCTGCATATGAAGATACAACAAGAGTTTCTGAAACCTGTGTCTGCTGTATCTTAAAAGAACAATGGGATATAGATACACATCCATGAAAAACATCTTTTCTTTTGTAAAGTTATACATGACTCACTTTCTCAAGGAAAAACTACAGGTCTGTACTGTTAAAGTGGAGAAAAGAAAATAATAAGACTATTTAACCTTCTCACTTTTAGGTAGAAATTTGAATATTTTATCCTAAGGTAGACAGTATTTGGGTATTAAAAATCACAAGCTTGCATTAAAAACATAGCATTAATCCCCATTTCTTAGGTCCTTGTATTGAGACTGTTTCTGTAGGTGTCAACACTCTAGAAAATACATATCTTTGATCACAGAGTGTATTTGTATAAAGGTAAATAACACTTCAATACAACATTGTTTTGGAAGAGTACCTTAGATAAAATATTTTTTCTTTTTTCTCCTTTTATCCCTTTCATCTTCCCCTTTGCTCATTTAACCTAACTTTTTCTTCTCTTTGCCTGTCTCATTTGGCAGCATAGTAGAAAAGCTAAGTATCAAATAAATAAATAAGTAAATAAGATATAGGTTCTAGTCCCAGTCATAAAAATGTCTACTGTCAGGTTATGAATGTAATTTAACATTTTATATATTTAAATATATATTTATACATTAAATATAAACGTATTGATTATATCATTGATAATTAATTAAATAATTGATGATATATTATGGTTGTATAACATACCATAATTAAATATATTATATTAAATAACTATAATATGTTTATATATTAATATAAATGCATTTAAATATATAAATGTATTTAATATATATTAACATGTATAAATATAAAATATATTTATAACTATATAAACATAAATATAAACTTTTATAAAATTTATAAATATGAAGCATATAAATATATAAATATATTTAAATACATTTAAATATATGCTATATTTTTTAACCCCAGAGCTATTGGGAATACCAAATAAGTACTTATGGAGATATACTTTTTATTGGATCAAACTTTCTTTAAATGTAACATATTATTACTTAACCAGTCCATATATGAAACAAAAAATTATTTTTATTATGGTTTATTTTTTATTAAAATTTTATATTTAGGACCTTACTTACACATAGGCATGTGTGATGAATTCCATTGTTGAAAACAGAAAAGAAATGCTCTTAGTTTACCTTTTCCGTCATTTGATGTATAGATTCTGTAGGCCAGATTTTCCTACTTGATAGAAACTTCTATAATTCTGTCCCTGGTAAACCTAATAGTAATTTTACTAATTACCACAGGCTATGCATGGAGCACCTTACAGTAAGGTAAGAACACCCAAGAGATTTCACCACTAATAACGCATACTTTTTGGACAGTGCTTAGATTTAGAGTTTCAGAGATTCAGAAAGACTTCAGTCTACCCACATCTTCCATTACTGCATTGAAAACAGATTTTAGACAAAGTTTAAACTCTGTGTTTTTCAGTCATGTTATTTTCCTTAGAAAATAGAATAAATAACTTTACCATCTACATTGACCTTTAAAATATCACCTGATAGAGTGGACGATTCTATTAATGCGAGAGGAACTTCTTGAAAAGAATGCTAATTAGGAGCCTAAATATAAACATTAGAAATATTTTTTAATTTCTTGTTCTTGCCAAGTGGGTAAATTAGCCCAGAGTGATGACTTCTCTTAAAATCATCTCAAGAGAAACAATAGCATTCTAGGCACTAATAATAACAAAATAAAATAAAAATACAACAAGAAATACAAGAAACCTGTGGGTAGACTAAAAGCCAGCTTGTCCTAGTATGTGCATGTGGGAATTGGGTGCTCAGTGATGAGACACCATTCAGAGGATAGATAGGAATTTTAAAAAATGATCTAAACATTCCAACCAAATAAAAAAACATTTAAAAGTAAACCCTGAGTAACAAGAAATAAGGAAATAACAAAAAATAGGGATAGAAATAAGTTAAATGGAAAACAAAAGAGAGAGTAACAAAACAAAATCTCATTTTTTGAAAAGTATGATAAGTTAGACTGACCTCTGGCAAGAATAATCAAGGAAAAAGAAGAAAAGGAAAGAAGAAATGCCAGAACAAAGTATAGGGTAAAAATGGGAAATACTGTAAACCCCAATAGAGATGAGATTTGTGATCATAAAATAAAGATCATCATATGGATAAAATAAAATATATCATAAAGTATTACAAACAGCTATAAAACTATATTTAGAAACTGGATAAAATGGGTGTATTCCTAGAAAAATATTCAACATCTTTAATTTTACAGGAAGAAATGGAGAACTTGGTTGTACAAATGAGTACTAGATAAGCTAAAATCCCAAAGCCCTCTCCTCTATAAGCCCCCAAATTCAGATCCAGATGTTATTTAGGTGAATTCTTCCACATGTAAAGAAATTATTAAAATTTCTCTTATAAAATTTTCTTGGAAAATAGGAAAAAGATCTATGCTGTGAGCTAATTTGAAAAGACTGTTATAATTTTGATTCTCCAACCAGATAAGGATAACACAAAAAATACAAATACAATTTCTTCCCATTTATAATTTAATTCTAAATAAAATGTCCCATCTAATGTAAAGCATATTAAACATAATACATCATGGTAAAGTAGGTTTTATTCCAGAAATTCAAGAATGGTTTAACATCAGAAAATTCATTAATATAATTCTCCACATAAATAGTTTATTACTACCTCAGTTCACACAGAAAAAGCAGTTGATACAGTTCAACACTTAATTGTGATTAAAAAAAAAAACTTTTGGCAAACTATGGTTATAGAAGAACTTTCTGAAGTTAGTAAAGTTTATATAGAGTAACCATATAATTTACCTTCCAGATTTTTATATTTTGTCTAGGACTAATTCTTTGCCAGATAAGTGTCAAGTAAAAAGTAAATAAGACTCTTGGGTAAATTGGCATGTGTGGTCATGCTAATGATACACACACAACCTGGAACAAAGGAAGGAAGGAAGGAAGGAAGGAATGAAGAAATGAAGGAAAGGAAAGGAAAGGAAAGGAGGGAGAAAGAGGAAGAAAGGAAGGAAAGAAGGAGAAAGGAAGAAGGGGAAGGAAGGAAGGAAGTAAAAAGAACTACAATAAACATTATACTTAATGGATAGATGCAGTCTCTTTCTAATTGAGAGCCAGAACAGGTTTACAGATAATTCAGTAAGGAGAGAAAAATTAGAATTGTGTAGATCATGAGGCAAACTATATGTCTATAATTATGTGTTTGTAATTGATATGATGATACACCAGAAACAAACAGTATCCATAGACAAAGTATTAGAACACGTAAGAGATATTAGATAGTTCTAAGTCTACCCCATAAAAATTCAGTAGTAGTTCTTTACACAGTAGTTCACTAGAAAATAAAAAGTTGATAGCAGTCACAAATCCCATAGAATATCTAGAAATATCT